TTAAAGGATAAAATCCCGCTCTGCATAAAGCTGCTAGGGCCACACTGGAGTGTCACAATGCTTAGTGCGAGGGTCTCCAAAGCGGTGCCCACCAAGGGTTTTGAGGAAGTGGGACCTTAGACCAGCAAGGCTTCTGACTGGCCCCTGGAGATATGATTGGCTGAGCAGACGTCGCTTTGGCAATAGCTGCCACCACAGCACAGACATCTCCAGGGTGTGCACCAAAGGTAGGCTGCGGCAGCCGTTGTGTGACTCTGCCCACCACACTGTGTCAGAATTGCAGAGATGCCCACAGGCTCAAAAAGATTGGGGACCCCTGTTATCTATATACTCTTAGTCACACGTGGCCCTCATTCACGGATACCTAAATCTGCGGTTCGAGGCCACACAGATGTTGAACAGATTTTTCAGCAAGCCTGAGGGACTTCCCAGGTTTGCAGAAAAATCTGAAATGTTCAAAAAAATTACACCGGGGGGAGGGGGGTTGAATTCCTCAAAAAGTAAAGTAGCATGCTGGGCTCAGCAACAGCAGGGGTGGCGCCAGAGAGCCAAGCTCGTCTCAGCAACAGCGGCACAGCCTGGGGGCCCTGCTGGGCCCACCGGTAGCCGCACAGCCGAGGAGCCAAGTAGGGCATGCCACTGACAGTGGCACGACCTGGGAGTCACACTGGGTCCGTCACTGGCAGCAGTGCAGCTCCTGGGCCCAGCAAGAAAGTGGGGGGGCATCCCCCCCCTCAAATATCACAGGCCCACAGTTGTAGTGTATAATCTCAAGAGCAGCAAAAAAATTATACAGTGCTTTCAATGTGCATGCAATACAATCTTGACCCTGTTTACATTCTTATAGCCCACAGAGTTGATTTATTGCTCCCATTTTACAGATGTGCAACTGAGGCCAAGAACGGCTTGCCTGGTGATGACAGATTCCCAGCTTACAATTTCTAAATCCTACTCCTACAAACGTGGTTACGGGGCCACAGCTGAAGTCTTAGTAAGCACACTGAATGCCTTTGCTCTGATTCATCTCTTACTACCCTCATTTCTCACTCCTCTCTCCCCTGTTTGCCTTCTTCGCTGTGGGTTTCAGCCTGAAAGTACCTTTGGCGCAGGGATCCACCTCATTTTGCTTCCTTATGATCGCAGGAAACAAGACTACCAAACCCCCCCCAAAAAAACAACTCTTCCTGAGACTTCAAGACAGCTTTTGCTAGCCAAAGCAGACAATATTCGAATACAGGACTTGCTGTCTGAACCAACGTTCGATTACTCAGCAGTAAGTCCACTTCGTTCCATGGCGTTTACCCCCTTGACACACAGAACTACAACCTTATGAAAAAGAATCTCCTTGTCCTATAGGGTTGCCAGACCCCCAGTCTGGGCAGGGTTTCCCCCAGTTATCAGGGCTTCAGCCCACCGCTGCCCAGTTGGTTGACAGGGGAAGCCCCATCCCTGAACAGGCACGTCGTGGGTCAACGTCATTGGCGCAATGATGTCACGTGGAAGTGACATCATCAGGATGTTGCGTGGTGACACTCTACCATTTTTGCCCAAACTCTATGGCAGAACTCATTTGTTGCCAGAGCCGGATCTGACATACTTATACTTTGACAAGCCTTTATTGGCATACGTATATACATACAATAGGAGATCAGATTAAATACAGATGGGAAAATACGAATCCATCTAGGGTAAAATTGGAGCTACGGCGCAGAAAAACAGCCTGAAAGCAGAAAAAACCTAGTGGTTACTTATCAGAACGTATAGCCATAGCACTAAGAAGAAACCTTGCTACTATTTCGGTTATTTCCATATCTCGCTTATCAAGCAAAAACAGAACCTTAAAATCGTCAGGAATCTCTGGGAGTTGAGCTAATATAGGGTACAGAAGATCCTGGTGGGGCACCAGATACAGGGGACATTGAAGGAGAACATGGGGGACAGTTTCAACACAGTCCTCCTTACAAGGACAGCCCCCACTGGAGTAGGGGATCTCCTGGAATCTGGCAGAGAGAAGAGCAGAAGGAAGGACATTAAATCTGGGCAGGATCTGACATAAATGTCACTTTGTTGGGCCGGGCCACGCGTGCCATAAAACTTAATGCCAGGTACCGGAGATAGAAACTGTATAAAGGACAGCAGCTGGTAAGTTCCGAGTTGGTGTGTCCTCACTGCCAGGCCCCGTGGCCTGGGAGGGGGGTGCAAAGGGAAACCCACATGGGTGGGCTGGAGAGGCAGCAGCACCACACTAGGCAGACACTCCCACAATGTTTGACTGCTGCAGATGAGGCTGTTCCACCATGCTGAAGCCACAATGGAGTGACTCCCCCAGCACTCCCTACCTTGCACCAGATGCTTGCAGGCAGTGTAAGAGCCCTGGACGGGCCAGTTCTGACCCCCGGGACTTATGTTTGACACCCCTGCTCTATGGTAACCATAGAGTTTTGGCCATAATGTTAGAGCATCGCTGTACGACGTCCCCAGCATGATGACATCACTCCCCCCCGGAAGGCTCCCTCCCACCCCCTGCGGCAGAACAATTGGACCCTGGTCTTTTCATCCACTTACTATTATTATTCTGCACCTTGTTGTTTGACCTCCTATAAAATAAATATTTTCCTTGTTGTACTCTGCCTGGTCCTCACGCCTGTTATTCAGCCAAAAGGGAGGTCTGAAGGTCTTGGGAGGGTACTCTGGGCCTTCTCAAGGGAACCGAAATCCAGAGTGGTGGCAGCGTCAGGTGACACCCCACCTGAGCCGTGACAGCTCCTTTCTGAATATTTCTGATCACGGGGAGGGAGTGTACACGTACACACTTCCACGTATAAGTGCCATGCTCATGAGTCAAGGATCAGACAGAAGCAAGGCTACTGGATTCATGGCTGCTCCTGCTCTCCATGCGTTGACTGGCTTGAGACTATGTATGACAGATGCAGGCATGCAGAACTCCCTGCCGTTTCCTTGCATACCTGTATCGGAGGACTGAATGCCCCATTACAAAATCCTAAACGAAAAGCTTCGGAAGCATATTATGCACGTAGCTCACAACGTGTCATGATCCTATGCACATTTAAATTGCCGCATGTACATAAGTACGCAGCAGAGGGCCATGCAATGCACAATGCGCCACATGTCGGATTAACGCATTACGACCTACACCTATATAAACACAGTAATTTCTTCAGTGAAGCATCCTCCTTGTGGGAGTGTTGTAACATGAAACGATGACGCAGAGCAAGATGCCACATCATAGGATGAAACGAGAATAAATCCTTCCAGTGTCAAAACTGCCCTCAGTGTAATGTCTAGAAACGCACCCAGTAAGGAGGAAAGAATTAAGATGGCGACGTGAGAGCTTACAGGCCATGGTCAAGAGAGAAGGAGAGCCCAGCCCACGGTCTGTTTCTACAAGACAGGAATGCTGTGGCACCCCTTTGGCTGGCTGTGATTAATCAGTTTTTCCGCTAGCAGTCTGGGTTCTGTTGCTTTTAGAATCACAATCACCTTGTGCTGGTTTTATTGTTATTGCCTGCCCTGGGTCTCAGCTTTCTGGAGGAAGATTTTTGACTAATCAATCGGCAGTGAGGGAAAGGCCTAAGACTAGAGGCAACTTTCTCTTTCTTTTTTTAGCAACATTTTTTCCTTCTGGGGAGTGGCCCTCCGTTAAAATCCCCTCGTTTTCAGCTAAGACTGTAGACCTCAGCGCTCACACTATCTTGTAGAATCACACATTGGGGGGGGGGGAGTTCTAACCTGAATGGCTAAGGAGCAATGCTCCCTCTAAGTTGCGGAGTCTTGTGAGCAAACATTCTACTTTGTGAGCTCCTGGCATGAAAGTCATGAGTGAGCGACTTGGCCGCTGCATCAATTACTTTGCTCTGGAGCCGTCCTTCCCGAGCAGACAAAAATCTGTGAGCTAAGCTCACACTAACTCAGCTTAGAGGGAACATTGCTAAGGAGACTCTCAGAATATTTATTCCGCATCCGGCCGAAAAACTAATATTCAGCCATGGCTGTGCTGAAATAAACGGAAGCTGGTACACTGAACCATGAGCCAAAAAATCCCCCAATCTGAACGTTATCTCTCCTTTGAACTCACCAGGTGGCTCCCGGCAACCCTCTATTTTCTCAGCCTCAGTACAGAATATCACAAACAACCCCCTTAAGTACTGTACTAAGCACCACAGATCAAACGAGAGACAACATGGGAGATCAGCACCCGTCAGGGGATATGATCAGCACTAAAATACTGGGAGGGGACCTGTCTAACCCTTCCCCCACCACTGTCTCCAAATTTAATTCCTCTTCCCAGCTGATTATTTACACTGTGGGGAAAGCATACAGTTACAGGAATGTTCCAGTTATTATTTTTTTAATGGAGTAACATGCTCAAAGAAAGATCCAGGTGGGCAGCCGTGCTGGTCTGAAGCAAATCCCCCCCCTCTAATTAAATCCAAACGAATGGTGACCTGAACAGATTTAGAATCCCGTGGCACCTTTAAGGCCAGCAAAGGTTTATTCAAGGTATGAGCTTTCATGTGCAAAGCACACAAGACCGTATATACTTAGCTTGTTATTGCTTTTGGTTTTTGCATATGTCAAAAGGTCTTCATTAAGTTGTATGCTAATTTGCTGTTCACCTCTGCAGAGGCTTCTGTCTATATATATGAACAGTTAACTTCCATTTCAATGTATCTGAGGAAGTGTGCATGCACACGAAAGCTCATGCCTTGAATAAAACTTTGTTGGTTTTAAAGGAGCCACTGGACCCTAACTATGCTCAAAGAAAGTCACCTGAAAGCAAGTATCTCTGAAAGCAAGTATCTATGAGTCCCTCTTGACTCGTTATTGCCAACGGTGGGGTTTTTTAAAATTAAAACACTAAAAATATTTTTTTTTAAAAAAAATCAGAAGTAGAAAGAGTATCACGAAACTAACCTAAAAATCTGTTCATTCCGCCCTTGAATGGTACATTCCATTTTGCATTTCCCCTCTTGAGTTACCTGAATGCCTCGAGCGGTGGGCAGGCTGGAGGCCACGCATCTCCACTTCTTTCCACGTTGGAGATTATGCTCTCCCTCAGACTTCGAATGCCGTCCCCATGATCTGCTCAGGGGGGGAAAAATCACAATAGGAAATCACAACTCCGTTCCCAATCACTGGGCACAATCCCACAAGTTCCCTGCTACCAGACCGTGGCTTGCAGAGTGGTCGATTCCACCTCGTCTGTTTACTAGGGACCACCGTGGGTCCAGGTGCTCATCCAACCAAAGCCTTTTGAAGGTGCCACCTTGCAAACAGTTAACTTGGCAGCTGCCCATTCACGTGCATGCTCTGCGACTGCTCCTACATTATGGGACAGTGGGCCTGAGGACCTCAGGACGGCCTTCGTGCTTCTACGGTTTCACAAAAGCTGAAATGTTCACAAGGGCATCCTTACAAAAGGATTGGAACTATAGTATAAGAACTGTATTGCAGTAGGCTATTCCAATGTTTATTGTACGTATCATTCAGAACCTAAAAAGGTTAGCTACTGGACATGTGATTATACTGGAGGCTTCATTTGTATTTTTGTATTTCTCTTCCTTGCCCAGTGGTTATACTTTGGAACAATTGATCTCTGGTCTTTATTGCATATTTTGGATATGTATGATTGCCTATATGTTTATATATCAGCCTATATGTTCTATGTGTATTAGACCTCTGAGGAAGGCCTGTAAAGGCCGAAACGCGTTAGGTCTACTTCATTAGCCCTTGTATGTTTTTATATATATATTTGTTTATAAGGTATGAATGGGCCCTTCTTTGTTATTTTAATTTGTGTGTAATAAATACATGTATATTTTTGTATGATTTTTAGTTGGCCCTCTTCTATCCTTGACTAACCTTTTTAGGTTCTGAATTCTAAGTTTTAGGTTCAGGTTTTTTCCCTTTTCCCTTTTTGTCCTTATTGTACATATCACCCTTTTTAACTGCAGCGCAATGTTTTCCACCTCTGCCTTGTCCAAAGTCAAGCCTTTGACAGCTATGTTACTGTAGACAGGGGTTTTTTTTTGCTTGCATTGTTCTTAATTCTGTAATCCCAGCCCCACTGCACTGTTTTGTTTATTAGACCCCCTTTGCTTTCTGATTGAATTGTTTTCATATTTTGGTAGCCTGCCTCACGTCTCGCGGAGATCCCTTTGAGAGACTCAGACAATCAGAGGCAGTGTTCCCTCTAAGCTAAGTTAGTGTGAGCCAGCTCACAGCTTTTTAGCCTCCGGCTCACACATTTTTGCTTTAGCTCTGGAAGGAGGGCTCCAGAGCAAACTAATTGATGCAGCAGCCAAATCGCTCGCTCACAACTTTAATGCCAGGAGCTCACAAAGTAGAATTTCTACTCACAAGACTCCACAGCTTAGAGGGAGCATTGATCAGAGGGGACCCCTCCAGCCATTTCACTTATTTTATTTCCTTTATTTATGCCTCCTCCTTCTCCCCAGTGAGGACCCAAAGCAGCTTAACAACCCCTGTGAGGGAGGTCAGGGTGGCAGAGAGACCTGGGCCGAGCTCACCCAGGGAGCTTCCATGGCACAATGAGGATCTGAACTCGGTACCCCCACAATGACCCCGCCGCCATCTTCCAGCAGCAGAGTCCCAGGTCGTGTGACCCACTTCATATACCTTACAGCCTCCTGCCTGGGGAGGTCAAAAGCATGGTTGAGGAAGCTGAGGTTAAAAAAAACAACCACCACCTCTGCCTGGATAACAAGGCAAATATTGCATCAGACTTCAAAACAAAGAGGACTTTCTAAATCCGGTTAGGGAGCCACTTCCAACAGCTACGTGTCCAATTCCAGGCAGATACTATCTCTTTTCCAAAGTGCAACCTGCGTTTTCCCTTCCCAGCTGGGGATTCCCCCTGCGGAGAGAGCATGCGTCATTCTGGAGACTGTGCTGGAACAGAACGTCTTGAATTTTGCAGTCTTGTTAAATCAGGGAAGCGTGCCTGTTTGAGCCTTCCTCCCATTCAGGGAGCAGCAGGCGGTGACTGCTAGGTTTCCTTAGGACAGTAAGTATGGAGGTGTTTCAGATTTACGGACCCAGTGCAAGCACAAGAGGTGCATGAACACATGAAGCTGCCTTATACGACTGAGTCAGACTGTTGATTTATCGAACACAGCCTTCCCTGCTCTGACAGGCAGCAGCAATCTGGGTCTCAGACTGAGGTCCCTTGCATCACCCACCACTAAATCTTTTAAATAGGAGATGCCAAGGATTGAACCTGGGACCTTCTCCTCGCAAAGCAGATGCTCTGTCACTGAGCCACGGTGTCTTTAGAGAAGTCTAGCTTGGTGTGCTCCCTTGGTCCCTGCAATGATTGGGTTAGTATAAGACAAACCACAGAGTGCTGAAATGGCTGGAGCCCACAATCCCAGCTGCTTTGCAAACACCTAGTAGAGTTACCAGTCTCTTTACAGTCTCTACTCTTAGGACTTTTACGGGAGACGGACATGCGGAAGCAACGCAACCTGCTTTTACTCCGGTCGCATCATCATCATTATCCTTGCATCATTAAACTGCAAGAAGTTTGGTCATTTTGCAACTTGGCAACGGCAGGCCTCCACTTCCCAGTATCTGCGGATTTCGCCATTTGCAGTGATCCTGGATATGCCAAAGGGAGGACCTCGTGTCCCACAAGCAGATGGTTTTCAAAGCCCATAGGGCAATTTTCATGCACTAATAATGAGTACAGTTTAAGGCTTTTCCCCCTAAGTTTCTGGGTACTGATCTCTCATTTTCTTCCATATTACCAAATGCCAGGGAACATTCACAGAACTGGTTTTCTACCAAATCCCTTTTTGGCGTGAATACAGCCAAAGTGGCGAAAAACTGGCCTCAGCACTAACCAACACATCTTTCCCAGCAGCTAGATCCTAGCATCCACTAGCCAACAGTCAATTTTTTCTGTAATGTAAAACGATACATCAAATGCATCTTTACATGCAGGTTATGCAAGCACATACAGATTTGCCTCTGTTCCTCATGTTCAAGACGTCACCTTGTTTTCCTAACAAGTGCCATCAGGTCCAGAGCTATAATCCCATGATCCATCTTAAATTTCAGTATTGACAGCCTGTGTGGTGTAGTGTTTAGAGTGTCAGACTAGGTTCTGGGAGACCCAGATTCGAATCCCTACTTGGCTACAGAAGCTTGACCAATCACACTCTCCCACCCTAACCAGCCATACAGGGCTGTTGTCAAGAATAAGATGGACAAGGGGTGAACAATATTGTCAGTTGCTTTGGGTCCCCCCCCCCCATCAGCAAGACTAGAAGACTAGTAAAACAAGGGGAAGGAGATTTGCAAACAAGTGTGAATCTGCATATGCAAAAATAAGAAGGGGTTTTTGCACCCTCTCTGCCGATTTGGAGAAGAGGGTTAAGTTTACATTTCATCGTCTAGCCAAACCTGGATGGCCCAGGCTAGCCCGATCTCGCCAGATCTCAGAAGCTGAGCAAGGTCGGCCCTGGTTAGTATTTGGATGGGAGACCACCGAGGGAGTCCAGGGTCGCGATGGAGAGGCAGGCAGTGGCAAACCACCTTTGGACACATCTTGCCTTGAAAACCCTCAGGGGTTGCCATAAGCAGGGGTCATTTCCTGCAGGAGCGCACAGGAGCGGAGCTCCGGCAGTAAAGAGCCCAGGGGGTGGGCACATGCAACAAGCCCTGCCCCCTGCTCCCAGCAGCCCTCCGTCAGAACAAGAAGCAGCCAGGTAAGTTGCAGAGCCAAAACAGTCCAGTGGCACCTTTAAGACCAAGTTTTATTCAGGCACAAGCTCTCCCTCCTCTGCGAGGACAGATCTGCACGTGTCCCCCCCCCCAACAGCTAGTAATCCAAAACAGTCCAGTGGAGCCTGAGCGGTGGGTGTTGCCTTCTGACACACTTCCGGTGATGTCAGGGGGCGTGGCATATGCAACTAAGTTATGCTAATGTATTATGCTAATGAGCTCCTGCACCTCTTTTTCTACGAAGTGACCCCTGGCCATAAGTCAGTTGTGACTTGATGATGCTTTCCCCCAGCAGCAGCCAAACAAAGAAACATCACAAAAGAAAAAAATGAGTGCAGGAAATAATAGCGGTGGGGCCCCAAGTGTGGCAACTTCAGCCAGCTTACCACTCCCCAAGTTCGAGCTCTTTACGGAGGGCCGCCTCCGGCTTTGAACTACGGTAGTTCAACTGTTTGCTTAGACAGAAGTTAGCTTCAGGATACGTACGCAAGAGTCTTATGCCATCGTCAGGATTCGTGGAGAATGGCTTGAAAAACTGGAAGGAAACAGAGAAACCAGAAAGTCAGGTTTTGCTTTTTTTAAAAGACCTTTTAGCAAGGTTGCCACAGTGCATGAGAAAGACGCCAAATCAAAGTCAAAGACCAGGTGAAGTTTTACTCAGGCATTCTCGATTATACCACTGCATACGTAGGTGTTCTACATACATAGGTGTTCTGGTTGATCACAAGCTAAACATGAGCCTGCAGTGCGATGTGGCTGCGAAGAAAGCTAATGCAATCTTAGGATGCATTAACAGAAGCATTGTGTCCAGATCACGGGGGGTGGTAGTTCCGCTCTATTCTGCTATGGTCAGGCCTCACCTGGAGTCCTGTCTCCAGTTTTGGGCACCACATTTTAGGAAGGATGTTGACAAAATTGAGTGTGTCCAGAAGAGGGCAACCAGGATGGTGAGAGGGCTGGAATCCAAGTCTTATGAGGAAAGGCTGAAAGAGTTGGGTATGTTTAGCCTGGGAAAGAGAAGGCTTAGAGGGGATATGATTGCACTCTTCAAGAATTTGAAGGGCTGTCATGTAGAAGATGGAGCAGATCTATTCTCTCTTGCATCTAATGGGTGGAAATTACAAGGGAGTCGTTATCAGGAGAAACTTCCTAACTGTAAGAGTGGTTGAGCGGTGGAACGGTCTGCCTCGGGAGGTGGTGGATGCTCCTTCGCTGGACGTTTTCAAGCAGAGACTGGACAACCATCTTTCGGGTATGCTGTAGGTATGTAGGGCTCTCTTTCGGCTGTGCTCCTGCAGAGTGCAGGGGGTTGGACTAGATGACCTGCAAGACCCCTTCCAACTCTAACATTCTATGATTCTATGATTTTTACTGATGTAAATTGCCCACAGCCCTATGTATTCAGGGATTGGGCAGTTCAGAAATCTAAAGTAGAAATGAATAAAATAAATAATAAATCCCCCCCCCGGCCTTATACCCCAATATAATCTCTTGCAAACTTCCCTGGCACCCTCGTGTACGTCCAACCTGCCCATGGGTACATAAGTCAGTTGTTTGCTTAACAGGTTGTATCTGTCATCTTTGGGGCTGGGCAAGGCCTCCAAGCGCTCTGCAGGAGCGAATGCAAGCAGACTGCAGGGAGAGAGAGAGAGGGAGTGGCCACGTCAGCAGATTTCCCCAGGAAATGCATAAGACTTGTAAGAAGACTGAAAACAGAAAGGAGGGAGGGAGGGAGCTGTGTTGGCAGTATGGCGAGGAAGCACCTGTCAGCCTCTACCTAAAATCTCAGGAATTCCGCAACTACTGAACCCCAGTTTTGCCATCAGAAAATCATGCAAATATATAATTTGCATGGTACGAGTAATCTGCGTGGGCTGATGTGAGGCTGAGGGGGGGGGGAGAATGCATTTGTGGTCACGGAAATAAGCCTGTGGTGGTGATGAGCGGCAGACAGCTATGTCAGATGTTGCAGGCCTCCCTCTAGGGTAGAACTACAACACCTAAGAAATGCTGGGCTGCCCAGAGGTAGGTTCACTCCTCTCGTGTTCAAACATATAAACCTTGTCTTGTCTCCAGAGCTGATTGTGCTGAAAGTGTTCCCTCTCCCTGCTCCGCAGGACTGGCTGATGCTGGCCAGGAAACACTTGGTAGCATGAAACAGTGTTCCCTCTAAGCTGAGTTAGTGTGAGCTAGCTCACAGTTTTTTAGCCTCCGGCTGACACATTTTTGTCTTTGCTCAGGAAGGATGGCTCCAGAGCAAACTGATTTAGGCAGTAGCCAAATCGCTCGCTCACTACTTTAATGCCAGGAGCTCACAAAGTAGGATTTTTGCTCACAAGACTCCACAGCTTAGAGGGAGCATTTCAGCAGACTTCTTCCAACATGCATCAATCCCCTGAATCCCCATCTGGATGCTTCACAGAAATTCCCTGCCATTATTAAAGCTCTTTTCCCAGAACGAGGACTAGAAGCTCTCTCTGCGTCTTTGTATTTTATAGATAAAAACAGAGATTCACAGATTGGCTCTGAAAGGCCTGTTTTGTATCATGCGCTCAAGATCTTCCAAATTCCACAACCAACAGCCCAACCCAGTCTGTACATATGGTATTATTGCAGTATCATACAATACCACCACACACCCCCAAGGCAAAGTGGTGCTTCTTCACACAACCCCTTTTTTAGAAAGGCTTAGAGAAACTACAATTTGGCTCAGGTCACTTGCTGATGCATGTATTGAACCAGGAAATAAAACCTGAATTCCTGAATGGCTGATATAAGGTTGCCAGCCTCCAGGTGGGGCCTGGGGATCTCCCGCTTTTACCACTGATCCCCAGCCGACAGAGATCAGCTCCCCTGGAGAAAATGGCTGCTTTGAAGGGTGGACTCTGTGGCATTGTACCACGCTGAGGCCCCTCCCCTCCCCTCCCCAAACCCCGCCCTCTCCTGGCTCCACCCCCAAAGTCTTCAGGTATTTTCCAACCCAGACTTGGCAACCCTAGGCTGATATCAAGCCCAGTTAGCCTCTTAATGACCAACAAAATTTTCCAGGGCATCTTGAAGAAGATGTTTCCCTTATAAAATGTTCAAAGTCATACTTATCTATTTTCCGCTGAGGTTTTTGGCTTTCGTACCAAGTGCTTTGAAAGGTTCTAATTTTCCTACCCGGTAGCATGTTTTAAAGTTCCCACAGGAATGAGACTCCTTTCAAGCGAAAGCCAAGAATGCGGCCTTGACCGGGAACATGAGCAGGGAGGGCTGCGGCCAGTTTCACCACAGGTGTGAGGTGGAGCCGACATGAGATCAGGGTACATGAGGGACTCTGCCGGCTCATGTTCAGCAGCCAGCTCCAAACGCACACTCAGGGGCGGGCGGGCGCTCTCCGGAGGCTCTGCATCACATTTATTCCCATGGAAACTACTTAGGAACGCTCCCAGAGGTGATGACATGTATGTGCAAAAGGCAGGAGCTGGAAACCAACGCCAGCGATAGGCCAATGTTGACAACACAACATGTGAACTCTTCTCTCAAAAGAGCTCTTCTCTTGGAACTTAGACTGGGGAGGGGGGGGGAGATTTCTGAGCATGAGGCCCGGAAATCTTGTAACTTGTGAGCTATTCCATTTTAGAAATAGCAAACCTGTGAGAAAGAGTTCAGAGCAACTAAAGTGCCCACAAGTTACATTAGGAATAATGGGATTAGTATAAAGGTATCACCCTAACCCTGTGAATCTTTATATCTGATTCTGAATTTGCAGGGATCATGTATACCCTGTCTTTCTTCCCTAACAGGAACCCAAAGAGGCTTATCTCATCCTCCTCTCCTTGATGTTTTCCTCACAACAGCCCTGTGAGGTAGGTTAAGATTAGAGTGTTTGACAGGCCCAAGGTCACCCAGCAGGTTTCAAGGCAGAGTGGGGATTCAAAACAGGATCCCCCAGATCCCAGTCCAATACTCTAACCACTGGCTCTCACTGCTATGACCCTTAGGCTGAATTTGTACACTACACAGGCCACAAATGAATCCCTAGCAAAATACATACATTGCTAGTTCCTTTTTAAGGGCTGTTTGCTCTAAGGCTCTGTTTTTTTAAAATTAAGATAGCTTTTTGAGGCCCTATTTACACAAGGTTTCTGAGGCCCTGTTTACACATGGTGTGGGCCCAGGGGAAAAGCAGTTACACCCATGTAAATACCGCATGCAATACCTTCCCCAGGGCATGTAAATGCACTTACCACATGAACAGACCCATTCACAGATAGCATTAGTATGCCCTGCAATGACCCTATCTATACATTCTCTTATCTGCTTTTCCTCAAAGCATCTCACAGAGGTGTACCTCATCCTCCCGTCCTCCATTTTACTCACATATTAGACCTCTGAAGTAGGTTAGGATGACAGAGCAACTGGCCTAAGGTCACGTCACAGAGATTTTCCCCAGGTTTTTCCATTCCTAGTCCAACAATCTATTACTCTACACTGGTCTGATCATTTCTTTATGATGTATTTAGAGATTTTATATGCTGCCCCTCTAGGGATCTACTCAAAGAGAGCCAACAAATAAGAATACCACTATGAACATCTGTGAATGGGCCAGCGAGAGGAAAACCTACTAGGGGAAGAAGAAGACCAGGTTTTTATACTCCCGCTTTTCTCTACCTGAAGGAGTCTCAAAGCGGCTTACAATCATATTTCCTTCCTCTCCCCACAACAGGCACCTTGTGAGGTAGGTGGGGCTGAAAGTGTTCTGGAAAAGGTGTGGGTCTCCTGGTTCCTGAGAGCCAGTTTGGTGTGGTGGTTAAGTGCGCAGACTCTAATCTGGGAGAACCGGGTTTGATTCCCCACGCCTCCACTTGCACCTGCTGGATGACCTTGGGCAAGCCATAGTTTTGTCAGAGCTGTCCTTGAAAAAGAGCCGCTTCTGTCAGGGCTCTCTCAGCCACACTTGCCTCACAGGGTGTCTGTTGTAGGGAGGTGAAGGGAAAGGAGTTTGTGAGCCGCTCTGAGATTCCTTTGGGTAGTGAAGGACGGGGTATAAATCCAATCTCCTCTTCTTCTTCCTTTCTGCACTGTTGGTGGTCCTGCCCACTCATCCAAAATTTTTGGTCATCTATTCGAGACCAAATTTCTGTCATCACAGGACTTCTATTCCATCACGCCCTGACTCACTGTTGCTAAACTTTGTGGGATGATCCCAAAATCCCCCAAGTTAAGAAAGATTTGATTTCTATATTATGTGCCACTGCAAAGTCTGCAATTGCCTCCTCCTGGAAATCTCCCGTGCTCCGAATTCTTAAGACTTGGCAGAGGAACCTATGGGATTATCTCACAATAGAAAGGATACTGATACAAACCTTCAATAAAGACCCTTACTCTGCCTCTCTTGATTATTATAATTTTTGGTACCCTGTTTTAAATTGTATTGCTCAAAACAAAGACCATTTTGATCAGAATTGTGTTATAGATGTCTTACTATGTTAATTAATTGATACTTGATTATTTACTACGACCTCACATGTTGATGACAGTTTATTGTCACTGGTTTGTCTTTGTAAGGTAAAGGTAAAGGTTCCCTTGCTCGAAGGCCAGTCGAATCCGACTCTAGGGTTGCGGTGCTCATCTCCGTTTCAAAGCCGAAGAGCCAGCGCTGTCCAAAGACGTTTCCGTGGTCATGTGGCCGGCATGACTAAACACCAAGGCGCACGGAACACTGTTACCTTCCCACCGAAGTGGTCCCTATTTATCTACTTGCAATTTCTTGCTTTCCAACTGCTAGGTTGGCAGGAGCTGGAACTACAGACGGGAGCTCACCCTGTCTTGCGGCACCCGGGTCTTGAACCGCTGAACTACTGACCTTCCACAGCCTGCAGTTCAGCATCTTAACCACTTGAGCCACCTTTTTAAAAAACCCTCTTCTCCAGATTAAAGCCTGCTGCTCTTAACCACCCACACCACACTGGCTCTCACTTTACCCCTGGCCCACGTCATGTACAAGCAGACTCCAGGCCAAAGCAAGTCTGGACTTCCGCAGCAGCCCCGAGTTAGACAGATTCACAGGCAGATGGCTTAGCTATGCATTTACCTTGGCAGAAGTTTTGTTAATATTAAACTGTTTTATTTGTTCAATTAGCTATTGGCCTGGAGACCAAAAGATGGAAATGCAGCTCAGCTGCCAACTCAAACAATAGGGCTACTTCTTAAAGCAAACTCCTGAACTGCCTTCTTTCAAGAGTGTAAAGCAGCCCTCTGCCGTGTGTGGGGCTGCATGAAGAAATCTCAAAACGAATCAGGTAGTACAAGACCTACAGCTTGCAGTCTTTATTGTGACCAAGCAGAGTCCAAAAAAAGAGCACAACAGAAAGGGGAAGGGGAGACGCCAACTGATGTGCACAAGATATCAAATAAGTTCTACAGCGCTTTGCATGTAAGCATTTAGCTCTTATCAAATGCCTGTACTGCACTTTCAGCATTAAAGTCCTTTTACCTATTCTCAGATGCTCTGGGCATGTCCTCTTAAGACCAGGCCTGTAAATAACTGCTTGCCTGGTCACCTGCAGCAAGTAAAAATAATCTTTGCACAGAGATGTTGTGACCTGGAGGAGAATCGGTGCGTGCCTTTCCTCGTTGCCACTATCCCACGAATGACTAACTCAGATAAAAATAAGCAGGACAGCTAGAAGACTTTTTATCTTAACTTTGGAAGGTTTGTTTGCAAGGCTGGTCTTACAGTCATAAGAAATAACAAGGCTGGATCAGACCAAGAGTCCATCTTGTCTCCCCCAATGGTCAACCAATTGCCCTGGAGGCCCAACAAACAGATGTTGTTTCCTAGCTGTGAGACTCAGAGGTTCACAAGATCTTTAAAACAAAAAAAACACCACCAAAAGACCTTGCAAGACCTGAAATCACCATCAGAGAACCTCTCCATTGACTAAAGACACATTCCTTCTGGCCAAGAGTTCAGGGTCAACAGCAGCTATCAGATGGCTCAGGAATAAACGTCTTTTGGAATGACACCCACGTACCTCATGTTTTCCCCAGCATCCCTTGCTGTGAGGAAGCATGGGAACTGATGCCATTCGCGGAGGGAGAGGGTGAGAAAGGGTTTCAAATTAATGCTGAATCTTCTGCACATCTAACTGAGCCAGGCTGCCCCATCACCGCATGTGTCGCAGAAACACGTTGGAACAATGTTCGCCCACCCTGCCCACGATGCCTCCTGCTGTCACTGATCCTCTTTGGCCTCTGTTGTTTTGGTGCAGAAATGCCAACATAATAGGGATGCCAGACTCCAGGTGGGGCCTGGGAATCTCCCAAATTACAGCTGATGAACACATGAAGCTCATCTGTAGACTACAGGGATCAGCTCCCCTGGAGAAAAATTGATGCTTTGGAGGGTGGATTCTATGGCTTTGTACCCCCACTGAGGTCCCTGACCTCCCCAGGCTCCACCCCCAAATCTCCAGGAGTTTCCCAACCTGGAGCTGCCAACTCTACCCCACCCACCCCCGGTGGCTAAGGGGGACCTGGCAACCCTATGCCAACAGTTGTGTCGCTTGGAACCCTCCCCTTCCCCTTTTTCAACTAAGCCACATGACAGCTCAGCTGGAAGGTGGCAAGTGCAAAAAGGCCCTTCATGGGTTAAAGGGGGAGGGGATGCACTGCTTATCTCTGCCATTTTGAAAACAAAACATAGTTTCCAAGAAGAAGAGAAAGGAGGAGGAGGAGGAGGAGGAGGTTATACCCTGCCCTTCCCTCTGAGTCTCAGAGCGGCTTACAAACTCCTTTCCCTTCCCCTCACCATGACAGACACCTTGGGAGGTAGTCGGGGCTGAGAGAGCTCTGACAGAAACTGCTCTTTTTCAAGAACAGCTGTGCCAGAACTATGGCTTGCCCAAGATCATCCAGCAGGTGCAAGTGGAGGAGTGGGGAATCAAACCCGGTTCTCCCAGATTAGAGTCCGCGCACTTAACCACTACTCCAAATGGGATACTGGCAACCTACGGTGTATTCACAGAGACATTCCACTCCCAGCCACTCTGCAAATAGGGTTTAAGTGGCTTAAAGGGGGGGACCCCACAAGTTGTGTTCCAAATGAGCATGGTTCTGTGTGGACACTCCCTTTAAATGCAGGAGTGTTATACTTTCCACTCATGCAAAAATCACCCTTGCAGGAACAGTCCTAACCTATGCATTCAGTCATCTCCATTTATACCTCAATGGGATACTTACCTTCAATGTTGGATAGCCAGTAATTTTAAACTCTGAGCATATTTTCTGGTTGGTCGTTTCAGCACAATCAATCACACCCAGCATCACAGCAGGTCTCCAATCTGGGGAGGAGAAAAAGGAGAGACAAACACAAGGCGTTAAGGTCTCTTCGGCTTGCAAAGAAATATGACTCGTGCGACTGACAAGAAGTGGCTGCATATTCCGTAACAGGAGATCAGAATTAAAGGACATCCAAACAAACACATTAAAACGAAGTTTAGTCTGATTTTTTATGACAGTGAAACTGCTGGGAGAGACGGGCTGAGGTGCTTCGGCCACAAAGCAGAGGGCCCCCCCCCCCACGAAATTATATAAGATTTTATTAGATGATGTGATGATAAGTGAAAGGGTGAAAAAAATATGATTGCATGGGCCCAGAATATTGGACGTAATATTCACTTGGAGGAGTGGGAACAGATTTGGTTGAAAAATATTAAATTGACTAACGCTGTATCATACAAAGAGAATATGTATAAGATGCTTTATAGATGGTATATTACACCAGATAGACTAGCTAAACAAAACGTTACTTGCTCAGATAAATGTTGGAAATGTAAGCATAAGACTGGTTCATTTTATCATATGTGGTGGCTACGTGATGTTACAAAAAGTTTCTGGAGATGGGTACATGAGACAATGCAAAAAATAATAAGAACTAAGGTTCCATTTACTCCAGAGATATTGTTATTGAATATATTTCTGAAAGTGATAAAGCGGATAGGTATTTGATTGTTCATTTGTCGACATCGCCAGGCCCTCCTGTCTTCCGCTGTCCTCTGAAGTTTGCTCAATTTCATGTTCGTTGCATCTATGACACTGTCTAACCATCTCATCCTTTGCCGTCCCCGTCTTCTATGACCTTCAAAAAAGCAGTGGGATAGCACACCACAAAGTATCAGTTTAGGCTGTAACTCTGAATACAGAGGTTTCATTGAATTTTTATGGTTAATAGCCAGGGGTCATTTCGTAGAAAAAGAGCTAGGGGGACTCATTAGCATAACTCATTAGCATATGCCACACCCCCTGACATCACCGGAAGTGTGTCCTCCCCGCAGCCGGCGGCGACCTCTAGCGGGCACCAGCAGGGAGCTCCAGGCCCCGCCCTCCCGCACCTCACCCGGGGGGATGGTGTCCCCCCCCCCGAAATGACCCCTGGAAAACGGAATAAGCCTCCTGTGATATGTTTTATGTTTGTTAGTGATAGTTATATGTTGTTTGTTTTATATGTATGTCTGTAGTGTATAATGAAAAAATAATAAAAGTGTGCCTTCGGGTACTTAAAAAAAAAAAAAAGGAAGCTTTGCTGTTAAAGGTTCTCAAAGGAGAGCCATTTTCAAACGCCCCAATGCGAAATCTTTAAATCAGCGGAACCTCCCAGTCACCATCTTCTCTGACACTCGCAACAACAGTCCATGTGCCAATTACTCCACCTAAGCTTTTGGTACCAGCTGTCACGTGAAGGGACTAAATAGCACACAGCATGAAGAAGCCACTGTTAACATTCAGAACCTAACCTTTGTTAGATTCTGAATTTTAATATTAAGGTTCCGTTTTTTGCCCTTTCTGTCCCTGCTTGATTTCTTTTGGGTTTTTGGCCCAGAGATTCTCAGGGTCCTTTAACTACACATAACCTTTGTTAGGTTCTGAATTTTAGTGTTAAGGTTCAGTTTTTTGCCCATTCTGTCCCTGCCACTGCTAACATACCATTCCCTGCCACTCCCTGACCATGATTGATAGGAAGGTGCTTGCCCATCTGTGTGTAGATAGCCACAAGAAGGGGGACCCGCAATACTCGCGCGGGGGGGGGAGAGTATTCCCCACAGCTCCCAGCCTGCAGAAGCAGTAGGAGCTCCACAGGAGGAGGAAGCGGCAGCAGGTAAGCCCATCAGGCCCGCCAAGCCTTCCCCCCCCCCCTCCAGCGGCGGCGAGGCCTGAGGCCCGCCAAGTCTTCTCCCTCCTCTCCTCCTGGTGGCGGCGAGGCCTGAGGCCCACCAAGCCTTCCCCCACCACCACCAGCCCACCAAGCAATATTCCCTCTAAGCTGTGGAGCAAAAATTCTGCTTTGTGAGCTACTGGCATTTAAGTTGTGAGCAAACGATTGTCAGCTATGCTGCCATGGGAGTTGGGATGTTCTTTCAGTGTCTGTGTAAATTGCTTTCGCATTCCTCTCTCTGCTTTGCGCTGAAATGCTTATCTCTAAAGAAGTACAGGTGGTGGTGTGTGTTGTCTGCCTTCCAGGCAAGCCGTGGGAGCTGAACAATTCCCAACTTCGCATAGTAACAGTTTGCTGGCTTTAGCCCGCGCGCGGGAAGGTGCCTAATTGGCCAGCGCAGTTGGGGG